GGACGGAGCGGCGGAAGGGGTTTGGAGGCGTTTGGTGCCGAAAGCGTAAACAGGAGCCCCGGGGGGCTGCTGGGGGCACAGGTGCCTCTGGAGGGGTGGCCTGTCCCTGTGCGGCTTTCTGCCGGAGGGATGGCAAACGAAGCCATACGGCAGCGGAAGCCAAGGAACGTCTTCGTTTTAGCGGTGGAGAAACCTTTGGCCCAGGCCTGTCCAAAGGGATCACTGCGGCGTTAAGGGAGTAATCCGTAAGGAGCCGTTTCAGTCTGCTGTCACCTGGCCCCGTGTCTTAGGCTGTTGCGTGAGGAAATGCACTGTGTGGTACTTGAATCATATTTATCACGTGAAAGGCCTTCGTTAAGCCAAAGAACTATTACGAGGAGATAAAGCACTTGCGTTGGTGCCGTGACTGCAGTAAGTAAACGTTCCCTGCAGTGTTGGCCATGGGACTTCTTGAAAGGTGTTTGGTCTTCTCAAAGTTTGTGATTACGTGGCCTTACTTCAGACATCTTAACATTCTAAGAATTTACTTTGAACAACTCCCCCCACCATCCGTATAAATATCAAGTTTCATTTTGCATACTTTGAGACAACTTAAAAAAGACTCGTGTTTGCTTTAAGGCTTTAAAAAATTATTAAGGGGCTTTTCCGAGTAGTTACATGGAAAGGTGTCTGTAGCTGTTTCATCAGTGCTTTTGCTACGGTTTGGTATTGTCACATTATTGTTACAAAAGACCATTGTTGTCTTTTTTTGTTTCTAAGCAAGGAAAAGGTAATGGTCTACCATATATTCTTGGAACGTGCTCTATGCACGTTGTAGTTGTGGTAACGTAATAGCAGTGCGGGAGAGGATGAAGACTAAGCAGCGTGCCTGAGCAGTACCAACACCAAAGTGGGATGTTTTGTCTTACAGGCTAAACTGGAAGAGTTGAATAAAACAAAACATAAGATGAGCGTTCTAGAAGAGGCTTATCTGGTGCCTTTGCTGTTATGTCAATATCCCTTTGACAACTGGGCTGTCAAAAACAACTGTGAGGAGGGGAAGAAAGTAGTAAGTTAAAGCGATGGCACCTAAGAGGGAGATTTGGTTGGTTGTGGTTTTTTGGGGTTTTTTCAGATGTTCTAGGACTGGTTCTGCAAGTTGAACAGGCTTTCCTGGGGCTCTAAACAGTGCCAGTGTTCTTTATTGTGTGAGTCACTGCATGATCCCTGATAGGAGAGTATTCTCCTGTCTGGTCTCTACACACATACCCACACAAAAATATCCTAGAGAGTTGGTCTATCAGAAAAGTCTTCAAAGAGAAACCGAGTTCTGACATCAGTTTTGTAACAGAAGTAATCACTTTAATACCCACATTGCTGTTTTTCTTCCCTTTTTAAATATTTTATATCATATAGAGCTGGCTACACAGTACCATGCACTCAGATAAATAAAAGTTTTTTAAAAGCTTTTGAATGTAGCCAAGATTCACTGTGGGCATTAACTGTGATATGGGACTGTGTCTTTTTCCTTTCTGTTTCAAGCGAATTATTTCTTTTCTCTCTGTGCCTGCCAGTTCATGGAGATGGCTGAACACAGGGAAGAAGCTTCTTGAAGAAGGTGCTTCCTATTACACGGTTAGATAGTGTGTGGTAAAGGGAAAGGATGCATTTTTCTTTTGGCGTACCGTCATGTAGAAATTCTAGTGCTATGGGATACACAGGGGTCTTTATAATGATGGCTAGGCCTGATTCTGCTATTTGAGAAATTTGAAAAGAAGTTAGACTACAAAGGTTAAGTGGTGATTAATGTCATGGTTTAGATACAGAGTATGCTGAATGATGACCGTTTTGCATCTCTGTCTTGTGTAGTCCTGAATGATCAGATGGGCCACAGACGTTCAAGGCATGATGAGGGAAAGGAAGAAGTAGTAGCAATTTGATCACAGGGACTGTACAGGAGTGGGACATAATTCCTTTCCACCTCTCACTAGCTCAGTAGATCAGAAGGATGCTCCCAGCTGCTGAAAGAGAGTGCATCACCTGTAAATCACTGCTGAATTTTTTTTTTTCTTTTTTTAGGTATTTGCCCTATCTTTGAGTACTTGTTATACACTGTCCGGTACAATACTATCTTGAAAGGCTGCAGAATGTTTCTTAGCTTAAAATTTTTATCCTGCTGCGTTTGTGCACTCCATTAGCGATGTTGAATATTAACTACAGTAGCTTCAGGTTGTACTATGGGTGGAGTTGAGGTAGTTATTTGCAGTGTTATTGCTGCTTCTCTCAGGGAAGTAGTATCTGCAGAGGAAATTGATCTAATAGTCTTTCGACTTTTCCCTGCTGGCGGTCATTATCCAGTTGTTTCGTGGTTTTTTGAAAGGTTTTGTGCTTTCTGTCTGACACTGTCCTTGGCATCCATTTTCTAATCTTAAAGACCATAGATCTGATTACTTGCAGAACATGCTGAAAGATCCATCTGTCTTTCCTCTAATGATCAATCTTTACTACAGCATTTCTCTGGGGTAGGCTAGTTGAGTTGAAACACCCTTGCAGCAAAGTACACTGCCTCTCTACTGTATTTGCGTAGCTGCCTACAACAGCGCTGGGAAAGCTTGCATCCTAGGGTGAACTGAAGAAGGAAGAGCCAGGACAGGGTAAGACACACTGTGGTGTTAGTTATTGAATCTTGGAATTTGTTTATGGGTGGTTGCTTTACATAGTATATTCCAGAACAGCTGTTTGTGGCTCTGAGCTGAGGAATATACATTATGTTATATGAATATACATTTTATGTAAAGTATATTACATAAGTCAACATGGAAGCTGGAGTAGTTCTAGAGATGAAAGCAAATAGCATTCAATGAGAACATTTAGAACTCCATTGTAATGAGATGGTAAACCACAAAGTGATTCATATTTACACCCAAATGACTGATCTGTTTCTCCATTTCTTTCCTCTCATTAAGTACGTTCCAGATGATAATCCGCATTTCCCTAAATTTCAGAGGTTATTAACTCTGAACCTCAGCTTTACCATAGTGTTGATGTCAGCTACTTCTTCAGCTGGCTGTATGGATAAATAACTTGTTTCGGTGGAGACACTGGTCAAGACTGTGGGAAGGCAGTAGGAACAGAATAGGTGAATACAGAGCTTAAATGCTGAGTCAGTGATCGTGAGTTGAAGTTCAGAGGGGAGGTATAGATAAACCAGTAGCCAACTGGAATTGTCAGAAACAGTATTGGACGTTGGCTAGGTTCTGTTCTTGCTGCAACACAGAGTAGCTTGGTAGGCTAAAGTCTACTCTCTAGCCACCCTGTTATTCTGGGTTCAGAAGTGCATTCAGGCCTGGGTTATAGCCTTTCACGTACGGAAAAGAGGAGCAAACATAGCATCTATTCTGGGCTCTAACCTAACTCGGGGGGGGACCGGGGGGTGGAGAGAGAGAAAGAGCAGTGTGTGTGTGTGTGTTCAGTTCTTTGTGGTGAAGAGGGTGGGAGTTGACTCTCGGTCCTTCCAAGTGTGTGCATTCTCTTGCTGGTTACTTGCATGTTTTCAGATCCGTGTTCACAGATCTGAAAAAAGCTTAACATGTTGATCTCCAAGATGGCAATTTGGAATTGGGCTTAGAGAAAGCTTTTGATTTCATGTGTTTTAAAGTCTGTAGCAATAAAACACGAAAGGGCCTTAAATGCTAGCTATATAGCCATCCATACATAACCAGTATGGATGTAAGGAAGACTTTAAGGCTTTGGTTAAAATGTTAAATACACTTCTCTTTAGAAAGAGTAATACTGATACAATATGTGAGCAAGTGAAGCTCTTTGGGAGACTTGTTTCAGCCTGAGAAGTGTGTATTAGAACCCTGAAAAGCTGGTGTCTCGTATCACAGTTTCACATTTGTTAGTCTGCGCTGATCTACTCTGCCTGCTTTGTAGTCATGTGCTGGAGATCTTGTGGAGTTTTGTTTTTCTGTGAAGTGTAGTTATTCAGAAATGCTGCATTCAGCCTTGTTGATTGAAGCAGTATCACCTGTGCTTCTGACAAGGAAGTTTATGGATGGCATTGACATTGTATTCATTTACAGCAGAATAGACCACTGATGTGTGCTCAGTAGTAGGAGTCTGCTTTCAATAGAGGAAATCAACATAGCCAACAATAGGTTCACACATAATTAGAAACTTCCAAACAGAGAGTGAGGCTTCTTTGAAACCCCATCATTACATCTTGCTTGTGAGTGCTTTAATGCTAGCTTAAGCTAGGGATTATTTTGTGTGCCAAGTTAGTAGGTGTAGGTGCGTGTGTTTACTTTAATACATTCTGAACTGCTTTTGGCGGGTTGTTAAATGATTTAATACTGGGTTACATGAGCATACAGAGGATGCTGTTTCGTTAATGCAGTTGACCTGACAGTGTGTATATATAATATGCACATGGAATATTTTGTGACTGTATACTTTAAGACTGTTTATATATGTCTGTATTGCATAACTGTAATTTCTTTGGAGAGAATATAGACAATACTGTAAGCACTGGATGAGTTGCATTTGTCCTTGGAGGGAAGTATGGCAAAAGAAAAGAGGAAAGAGCTATTGACTAAAAAAGGGAAATGAGCATAAAAAAAAAAAGAATAGAGAAACTGCTGTGACAGAAACAGAGTCTAACTTGTCAGAGTAGTTCTCACACCAAGAAATCCATTTCAGACCATAAGCACTACCACCTCTTCGTGTATGAGAGCTAACTACCTGCGTAAAAGCTGGGTAGAAAAGTTGGAAGGGAATAATGAAGCTGACAGATCTTGTTCATGTCTTTGTGTGGGTTGTTGTTGTTTTGTACCTTAAAGGAAAGCCAGCTATTAAATGGGTGAAAGGAAGAAAATATGAATTTATGAAAGTTTGAACAATGTACAAAATATATTAAAAAGTGAATATTAATAGGAAAAGTAAGCAGCGGAGGGATTTTTTTGATTTAACTAATAACTTTCCTGTTCTGACTGGGAACTGAGATATCAGGAAAGTTTCTCTTCCAGTTTGTTAGGAGAACTTACTCTCACATGTTCTTTGGTGATTTAAAAAATCTGAAAAAACATCTTATCCAAATCTTCAATTAGGGACAGCTTGCTTTGCTTCTTCAAATCTGTGTTGCTTTTGAAAGTGATATGATACTTTTTTTTGGTCAAAGGCAATGCTGAATTTAGTGTAGAAAACCACAGTAAATTATCAGCTTCTTTTAGTAATAGTAACATTTAAATATCAGGCATTTTTTCTGAGCAAAATAAACTTAGAAGGCAAACACAAGCCAAGGTTAAACTCTGCAAATCTTCCTGCTTGCTTGCTTGCTTTACATCAATCCATCGTTCTCTATTGACTTTCTAAATCAACAGCCTGGTAGAAGGATTGTAGAGTCATAGTCTCTCTCATATTCAGTTGTGCTGAGCCAATGATTAACTACACCACCGCATACTTGAAGTGCCAACACTGAGTAAAAAATACAGGAAATTGCTGAAGGGGAGGAAGAGACTGTGCTGTGTCTGTGCCTGTTGGAAGGAGGAAATTAGAACTTAAAAGCTGTCGTCTTTTTTCCAGTTGTTACTTTCTGAGCAGATACCATGTGGGTTTTTTGAGTTGCTGTGTAAGATTTGTGGTCCTACATGTGACTAGGCTGAAAAGTCCAGGCGTCTTTATGCCTGGATCAGGATCTTAAGTTACATGTAAATGTGATCTTCATAGCTACATTCTAATTTGGTGTCAAAAGACTCTTAGGCAGCATTTTGGTCAATGTTCTTAATCTTCGTCTTTGCAGTGGATATTTGAAGTGTCGCTGATCATACCAAGAAAATGGAACAGTTCAAATGTGACTGTGTAGAAGTAATCTAAATACATAGACCAGCTCTGATAGAGATTCATTGCCTTTATGTGGATAGTGTGATTGTTGCTGTGTAATTGAATTACATTAACTTTATTATACTTTACTTTAGAGCTTCTTGTGTGTTACTTGTCTTCTAAAGACCTTTTTCAGTGGTGAAACAATGTTTTAATATAGAGAGAGGACTAATCTTTGGGATGAGAGCATCAGGTAAGATGCAGGCTTTGTTGTTCAAAGCAAAGGTGAAGAAGTCCCAATAATACAGTCTTTATGCCACATGACTAGTCTCTTAGCCTTGCTATGAGACGGTATTTTCATGCAAAGATCTATACTATGAGTAGCATTAAAAGGCATCTTCGGAATTTGGGATGGCCTGCGTTTTAGTTTGTCTGATAAAAAACAAAAATAAAAAATAAATCACTATATGATTGTTGTGTATTCTGGAGCTAGGTGATAAGCATATTGGGAGGGGGAAGAGCTTTATAAAGCTCCAGTAATAATAATTATGCATATTTCCTTGTTCCATAGCGAATGTTTAGCAGAACTTGTAACAGGCTGGCTGTTTGACAAACTTTGGATTTCCTCCAGATAAGAGGTGAAAGTAGTTCCTATTTTGTTCTTCTGCACTGTTTGTGCCACATGCAGTGCTGAGCATGGCCGCTTGCATTCCAAGTGCGTTACGCATTGCTGAGCCTGTCCCTGCATCACTTAGTAACAGGGCTCCCGTCCCCAGCTGTGATGTCAGGACGTATTATTGGAAACGAGGTAGTTTTCAGCAAGGAAGCTAACTCCCTTTGGAAACACAAAGCTGTCTTCAGCTTAAACTATTGCAATCTTTTGACGTTTATTGGGTTCTGCCTTAGCACTGCGAAAAATAGTATCACAATAAAGAACACCTGGGAATATGAATTACAGCGTTTGTGTCTTTCTCCCCTCCTGCATTACTAATTAATGCAAATCAGGAGAGTGAGAGGGAGAACTGGGAAGTTCTAATTTGCATGTTATTAGAAGCTTATTCAGGCTATACTACTTGGAGCCTTACTTTGGGCTAGTTAAACGCTGAAAAGAAGGCTTATCTTCAAATTGCATGAATTTTGAAAGAACGAACATAGTCAGTTCTGACAGCATTTTGAATTGCCAGCTCCTTTAACAGGTATCTGCTGAGAACTTACCAATTATTTTCTTCTCTCAGAAAGTTTCCACATTAGCCAAATGTTTGTGTTTCTTGGAAAATGTAATTCATAATGCATGGCTGACATCAGAACCACAGCTTTCTGTATTCAATGTTCAAGCATTCTGCAAAACCTTGTTTCTTTCTGGTGGTTTTTTGTTTTGTTTTGTTTTTTAATATGACAAGTCTGTATTTGATCATTGGAAAAAAGTTTACTGTCTTTTAACTGAACCAGCCAAAAAGCACCACACCTTCAGTTAACCGCACCATGGGAAAACTCATACTGAATGGTTGAAGTTTAGTAAAAATGGAAACAATGGAAAACAAGTCCCATAGTATATTCACTCGAAAGCAGCATTTCCTCTGCCACATACATTTTTCAGAATAGAATAAGATGCTGTATTTTTAAAGCTAGGCTTGTTCTTTTGTCTAATGTATAGAAGTAGAAGTTTGTGGAGTAAGAAGCTCTTGTGGGTCATAAAAACAGGAAATTACTTTAGAAGCTACCGTATGCATAGAATAACTCTTCAGTTTGTTTGTAAAAGAATAACATAAACTCTAACCCCAATTAATGCAGAATCTGTTCCAATGAACTTTTAGATATTCTAAGAAATAAATGTGTTTTAGACCATGTTAATAATGTGATTTTGGTATAGTAGCCATTTTTAAGCTGTCTTAAAAAAGGCACAATAGAATTTTTTTGGCTATATGCATTTTTTTAAATTGTGAAGTTTCTATTTTTAAAGTTCTGAATGAATACACGCAGCCGTATGATAGATAAAGTTACTGCTGGCATTTTTAGATATAGAGCAGAAATAAAAGGTTGGATGTACAAGCATATGTTGCTTGTTATTTAAGGTAACAGTGTGGTTTGGTACTACCCATCTCAGAATAACTTATCTTGTGCAAATAGTACTGGCCAGTTGACATTTTGTATTCCTGAGCAAACTAAACACAAAATGTTGCAGAAGATCTTAGGGTAAACTTTGCTTTGTCTTGAAAATATACCGTAGTTGAAATGACCATTTTGAGGATTTTATCTTAGATACTTGAGGGCAAAAATGTACTATTACTTTTTCATAAAGGAAGTTTATGATGAAAGAAATATTGAATGATTTGACTGCAAATAATGTGTGGATTCTACTTTATTGTGATCTGAGAAAAAATCCGGAGACTACTTACTTAAAGTATCTAGTATAACAGTAACTTGAGCAATAATAAGTTAGATGTTAAGTCTTGCGGGTTGTCTTCTTTGGATAAAAACTGCGTATTTCAGGGCTTATTTCTTCTTAAATCTGTTTTGTAAAATCTCTAGAGATGAAAAAATAATAATAAAATCTTTATAATAATCTATTATCAACAATATAATGACATAAATAAGTAGTACTATTAACAACATTAAAATTATGATAATAATAATGAAGACTACCTCAAGGTAAAAGACTACCTCAGCACTTTTTCCACTGAAGAAAATTACTAGCGGTAAATGGATATGAAATGCTTATGTTAATATCAAACAAACATCTTTCTAAATACTGTATTAATCACATGATGGGTGGAAATGCTTTCTAAGCAAGATTATGCTCATAAAAGTAGGAAATCTTCAATGTATTCTTATTTTAATTTTTATTTATTTATTCAGAAAATAAATGCTAAGCTTCATGATGGAGTGTGTCAGCATTGCAAAGGTATCTTGGAGTGGCGGGTAAAATTCAGCAAGTACAAACTACTATCAAAACCTAAAAAATGGTGAGTTAAGATACTTTGTGTTCATCACTGATAATGTAGTTCGTGAACTTTTTGGAAAATATTCTAGTTTTGGAAACTCACAAGTAGTAGCTGCTACTATATGACATTCTTCAAATTTGGAGTTTGCAATGACAATATATATGCAATGTTAATTTCCTAATTCATTAGTCTTTTATCTTAAACTTCTGAAAAGAAAATACAGTGGAAAAGCAACTACTTCCCTCTTTCCTTGAACTGTGAACCTGTAAGTTTCCAAAACCGTCAGTGTGTCCTCCTGAACAAAAAGTCAAACCTGAACCAGTTGTAACATGATTTTCCAAGGTGTCTTTGCAAGTCAGTACTAGAGGAATCTGCACATCTCTCAACCTTTGTAGTTCACAAAGACTGTCTACTAGAGAAATGAGGAGAGGAAGGCTTTGATTTTGTGTCATAACAAAACTCATCAGCAACATTGTTCTCAGCATTTCTGAGGCCTCAATTCCTCCAAAATGTTTGCAATATGTGCATTTAATTGCCTCTTAGCATGTTCTCTCTTTTTGTATATGAAACTACAATCCTAAATATTAAATGTTTAGCATTGTTTGCATACAGTTCTGTATTAGGTGTTTTGGGATAAGTACATAACAAACGTAATAAATATCTTGAAATAATTTATAGGTTTGTGATAGGTTAATTTTCTGAAGTAGATACTCTTTCCTTCCTTCTTACTCGCTCAGCTGCAGAGGTCCTTATCTCTGTGGCTGCCGACACAGTCGGTGTTTCAACAACGAAACCTTGAACTCGAAGAAACTACAGCTGGGCTGTGATGTATGATATAGCCGGCTTTGTTACAGTAGTTCGCACTGTGTTTGTGTTTTGTTCTCAGTTACATACTTCTGAAATGCTTATGAACTGCTTGAAGAAGTTCTGTAAATCTGTGTGTGCAGTTCCCTGAATGACAGTGTATTTTATTTTGATTTTCAGTAGGTTAAAAGGAACGGAATGTTTGTTCATACTATATCCCCCACTTGTGAGAAGTTTTGCTTTTTAACACGAAATGACATGCAACAACTATTTTGGTTTTAGTAAACAATTTCACCCTTTCATATAAAAAAAAATTTGATTGGGTAGAAGTCTCACTGGTTCTCAAAGTAAACATTCTGTGTTCTATTCACCACGGATGAAATTGGGATATGTCTTTTTTTAACTCTTTCTCAAATGACTATGTGCATCCTGTTTAAAAGTAATGAGCTATAACAAATCATGTGGTGGTGGCCCTGGTTCTTTTGCCTCTTCTCTGCATACCCCAAAGGAAAAAAAGCAGCAAAAAAGCATGTAAATCAGAGAAGCATTGGAAGTAGAAAAGGTGGCATTGTGGACAGCTGCTTGTGGCAGAATATGTGATGTTTTCCATCATATTTTTGAACAAGTAAATTGGGCTGCAGACTGTTCTAGCTCTACAGGAGGTGGATTCTAGACTAGCCTGGAGCAGTACAATGGCTGAGTGGGCTGCTGTTCTGAAAGACCAAGACTATGAAGATTTTCAGTGGGTGAAGCTTCTAGATGAAGTGAACACATTATAGCCATTAAAAATGTGACTATATGGAAAAAAAAAGAATTCTTCACGTCACAGACAATGGGAATGGAGGACTTCTCTGTACCTCAACTTATTTTTAGTTTTTTAACATCTTCAAGATTATGATTGTTAGTACAACCACAAGTTATCCCTACTTTACTTTTATTTCAAGTATTTCATTATTACAGATTAAACTATTAAAAAAAAAAAAAGTCTATCCACCTTCATTGATAGTGCCCCTGTTTGGTGTGACATGGCTGGGAAGAGCTGTAGACATTTTTTTAGTACTAATGCAACTGAACATAGAAGAAAGAAAAAAAAAAAAACAAAAACAAAAACCCACCAAACAAACTAAGTAGGTATTTCCAATGACATCTAACTGTAGGTTTCTCCTGGGGGAGAGGCAAGACCAGAAACACCAGGCAGTTCAGACTTTGCTTTTGTCAAATGTGTCCCACAGCAATTCTTGTGATTTTACAGGTTCTTAAGGAATTGGTTATGTGCATCTTGATAATGAAAGCTCAGCAGGAGCCTAGATGAAGATAGTAGGGAGAAGGTGGTAGTGCTTAAGAATGGGATTTGAGAAAGCAAGTAAAAATTCTGTTTCACTAAATGCTAGTTAGTGCATCTCTCCTTATAAGGCATGCAAAAACACTTAATATTTTTCTTCAGTCTGTTTTAGCCAAATCTACAAATCCACTGTTCAGAACTGTATGCTGAATCTTTCCTGACAGACTTTTGAGTGCCTGAGGAACCAAGAAAGAGTGACTTTTAGGACAGCTGCATTACATGGGATATATAGTTCTGAGTTCTGTTCTCCAAAAATACAAGGCTTTAGAGATGTCAGCTGAATGTTAAGCCATAGCATTTTACAAATTACTTAATCTACAGAGTTTTAGCCTATCTTGAAAAAGAATAGTCAAAAACCTCTACATAATTAGGTTGGGTTTGTTCAGAATACAGTTCCATGCAGGCTTGTGTTCATAGAAAGCAAAGTCCGGCACTGGCTTTGTTTATACTCTGAGAAGTTCAAGAGGGAGACATTGTAGTGTTTGAATTGAAAGCTTTTTATTTGTACAATGCATGCACCTTTTTATACCATATTCTTTTTTTCTTTTATCGTTAAACCAGAAGAAGTAGTTACGTAGCTTTTAAAGTAAAACTGCCTACTGAAATGAATGGAAAGGTTTCTTTTGTCACTTTAAATATAAAAATTCTTGATTTTATGTTTCTTCTTCAGTTCTTGTTTTGATAATTCTTCCTGAAAAAGTTAAAGGAGGGGGAAGACAGGCAATGATTTTGATAGTGCTGCTTGTTAAAACACCAATTGTTTCATATGACACTGTCCATGTTGTTCCTCTTTTGAGGAATATGTTTATATTGTCTTTGAACACAGAATGTTTAGTAAGTGTCCACAAATATTTTCTTAATCATGTTTTCTTTCTCTTTACAGTGTGAAGTGCCTCCAGAAGACTGTAAAAGATCCTTACCATATTATTTGTCGACCATGTGCTGGTAAACTAGAAGTTTGTGCTAAATGTGGAAAAGAAGAAGAAATAGTAATTCCGTAAGTAGCTCATAGGTTACGTAGTTTCAGTACTGCACTGTTTATTCCCCTTTTAATAAAGCTTGTTTGGAAACTGCCAGGAAGCTGTTGTACTTTATGCCATATTCTGAATAATCCTGACAGGAATCAGTAGGAGTCATTACCCTTACTTTCTTCTGCTGAAACTAGGGGTGAAATGTCTATTGATATTAGTGGGGCTGGGCCAAAAAAAGTCTTACTTGGATAAGACACTTTATTTTAATACCAAAGTGTAAATTGCATACCTTCCTGGGGAACAAAGCACTTCAAAATGGATTTAGGTATAGAACACCATAAAATATGCATAAGCCAATTTACTGTTTGCGTTTTGCCTGTCATTTGATGATTCAGTTACTAGTGAACAGAAAAACTAAACAAGGGCTGATACTGAGCACAGTTACCGCAATATATTTAGCAGGCTTTTGGGTTTTTATTCTTTTACTAGAGTTCTCTCTTTATTGAGCATCCTCTATTAATTTGCTAGCTTGTGACAACTGGCCGGCAGTTGCTTAGTTGGTCAAACTGTTCATATATATATATATTGCCCCCCACCCCTTCACAGACTCTTTCCTTTATTGTCTTTTAGATCTTTCCTGTCAACATGAAAGTAACTTCAGGTTATTGTCCCTCTCCTCGTCCTCCCCACCTCCCACCCGCTTCGATCCCTGGTAGAATATTCTACCCTCCATCCCACATTCTTTTGTTTAAAAGAAAAATAAATTCTAGAAATGGGTGGTGATAACATCCTCTTGCTTTCTGCAGGATTGATAAAGGACAAGACAGAACTGAGTGTATGACTATTAAAAATGGCCAAAAGAGCAGTGGCTTGGAGGATGAGCTGGATTTTGATACAAACTTCAGTAGCACAGACAGTGATGAAGATTCTGATGTGCTTGAAGAACGATTTAAAAGTATGAATTTTGAAAGGACAGAGATCTAAAAGGTTGAGTTTCTGTGAGAGACTATATGCAATCAAAAGGGGAAACCCATGTTTGCCTTAAACTGCTCTGGAAATCTGATTTGACATCTAAGGTCCCTGCATATAAGTGTTGGCACTGTGTATTAAGATGCTTGTTGGGGGTTTTGTATAAATTTTTTTTTTTTTTTATTAAGAGCAGAATTTCTAGTGAAAAGATTCAGAAATGTAGTCTTTAAGCATAGTTATTTCTTGCATACATGTAACAACTTCCTGTTTCTCTGCAGTAAAACCTCTTTGCGTAATTGTTCTGAACTCAGTATTACGCGACTGTTGTATTGCCACTTGGAAAGCTACATGAAAGTCTAGAATGCAGAGTCTTGTCATAAAAAGGAAGAGCTAAACCAGCTCTAATAGTTTGCTGAAGGAAGAAATTGCAAATTCTGTCAATGAGTTTCCAAACAGGGTTAAAATACCAAGTGTTCATTACCCTTATGCCTGTTGTTTCTTTTCCTTGCAAAAAAAGAGGGCCTAAATGCCATCACCAGTACAGTTCATGAGCAGTTAATGCTTATTTACCATATATAAGTATGCATTACAAATCTGTGACCTTGCTACTACCTTGAAAAGAAAAAAACCTGAAGACTCTCTAGAATTTCTCATAACAGGTCTCACACTTCCTTTTCCTTTGACTGTGGATCTAATGTAGTTTGCTCTGATACAAAAACACTTGTGTAATGTAGTAATGCTTATGTAGTTACTCTCTTCCTGATTTTCAGTTCTTTCTAGGGGTTATTTCAATGTAGATAAAGCTCTAGGAAGAACTTAACTGAATTTGCAGTAACTATCTTTTACGGGATTCAAGATGGTTTGATTTCTTCTGTATTGTCTGCTACCTCTCTAAATAAAGCTGAAGAAGTACTTCCTAGTAATTAAATGGTTTAACCTATGACAGTATATTATGCTGGTTTTACTATCCGCATGACAGCTACACGTCTGCTTTGGTGTTCTGCCTGATTTGCAGTAGTGGGCATGGGAAAATCTGATTCGCAAACTACCTTCTTCAAATGAATTGTGAGGGACTTCAGCTCTGGGATTATTTCCCCCACCCCTGCCAATGGGGGAAATACTGAAACTTTATCCTTTGGGTAGAGATAGCCACCCTGTGGCTACTGTAGTTGACCTTAACTTTAAAGAAAATCTAGTTATCAAGACGTGGAGTGCTAAGACATTCAGCAGTCAATAGCTTAGAAACTGTTCTGATTTAAAGAACAACTTTATTATTTAATGTTGACAATAACAGGCAACAGCAAAATTCTTGTAATCAGTCATGGAACAGTGAGCTCTTTCTGGTTTTTCTTAACTGTGTAGGTGTTTGTCAGTACACATAAGGCTGTAAGAATAAGCTTTTTCTTTTATTATCTTTTCTTTATTTAGATTTGTCTTTCACTTTTGTGTTGTGTTATTCACTTTTGTACATTAAAACACCCTTTTACCTTTTCTAAACTATTTGTAAGTTTTATCTTAATATCTAAAACATGCTTTTGTAATGATCTCTAAGGACTAGTAATCTGCTTGGTTTCTTTTTTTTTTTTTTCCCCCCTTCTTGTTGTTCCTTTTTCGTGCTGCCCTTCTGCTGTTGAAGAATTTGATTCACTAAGATTATTTTTTCTGTCCCATGTAGATCTTTGCATAGGTAGATTTTTGCTGAGTGTTTTATGATAACCCTAGCAGTAAACTATTGAAAAACGTTCTACTGGTCTTCTCTGTTCCTGTGATGCATTGTGACTTTTGTGGCTTTTCACTGAGACAAAGTCTAAAGTTTATGAAGCGTTCAGGTGGTACTCTGTTTCCTTCTGGGGTTGCTTATTACATAGTTGTTTGCAGTCATAAAAGACTAGGACTAATGACGCAAACAACCCATCTCCTTTCTCCATCCACTTTATAAACATGTTGTTTATAAGCTAAACCACTGGTTTTGTGATTAAACATACTGGTTCTTTCCCTTAACTGCAACTAATAAAAAACAAGAAATTCGGAAGTTTAAAATTTGTATAAGGACAATGGAAGAGTCAGTGAAGCTGCAAAGCACCGAGAAGTGCTTAGTGGCAGAAAAGGAAGTTGTCTGGTGTGTTTAGAAGTGACTGGAAATTGGTCTGAAGGTCATGTTGCATTGACAGATAAGTCCTCCCAACAGGACAGCAGTGACGTCTGACTTAGTGTGACATTGCCTGTTGTGCTGCCAGTTGACGTCGATAAAGACAGAGTGAACAAGGAATATCCCCCCCACACACCGCAGGTGACTGGGCAGTGGGATAGAGGGGAGTTAATAAGTAATCTGGAGGTAGCTTCAGAAAGGGTGTCTCTGAAGGGGAAACCATGAGTGTCATCAAAAGTGAACTAGGCTTTTGAAAGTGACATACATATGGGAAATGTTCTTCCACTTGGAAAAATTAAGTAATGGCCTAGCCCTTTGCCCAAAGGTGAGAGGAAATCCTGAAACGATCGGAAAACATGTCATGGAACTGGCAGGAGCTGTATAATGAGAAAATAAGGGGAAGGGCTCTCTTCTCAAAGTGGTGACACAACCTGTCAGTACTGGGGAAGAGCAGTGCCACGCAGATGAGCAATGTGTAGCAACAAAACACAAACGTTAGGGAAAGTCCTCTGAAGTTAGCATCTTCATGTCACGCAACTAATGCTCTGTTCGGAGTTCAGGTGGGCAGTTGGTACTACAGTTGGTGAAACTTTGCTGTGAGTGAGCACAGCTGCAGTGGTGGCTGACTGGTGTTAGTCCAACCTCTCTGAAGACAGCTTTTGATTCTGGCAGGCGTTCTGTCTTTGGTCATAACTGCAGTTAAAAGATATACTGCTGGAAATGGTCGCTGCAACTAAAACCATGTACGATGGTGGTTGTGAGTCAGCTTGCTTGCAAAATTGCTAACTTGAAGTTTGGGGATATTTGCTATTATAGGAGAAAGGAGTTTGTATTTTACTGAAGACACCTCTAACAGGAATAAAAGGAACAATTTTAGTTTTCTTGTTTAATTTTGACTGAAGTTAGAACATATTTGGAATTACAGTAAGATACTATTTTTCTGAGACTTAAGTAATACTTCTCAATTTCAAGGCAGTTTTTTGTGAAGAACTTGTTGAACAGAGGATTATGCAGGGGCAGAACCCCTTTAAACCCTGATCTTCAGTAAAATCATATATAGATGAGAAAATAAAAAAAAAAAGGAAGGAGACCAAAAGTCATCAAAGAGATTTCTGAGACAATCTTCAGGGTAGTTGCATATTTAGAGTTTTTAATGGAGATTTTGAAAGGCTTCTACCTCTTCTTTCATAAAGAATAATGAATTTGTGTTTGTAAACTTCAAAAGAGGGGAAATGATAATACCACCATACCTGCAGGATATTGAGATGCAGTTTAAATGATCTACTTAGGATGACTGATTGGGGGTTTGAGGAATTTAACTGAACCTTATGGGTCCTTACCAAATACATTACTGAATGAGAGAATGATAGTTGTTAATAATTAGTCATCTGAAGAATAAAGGAGCTGCAGTGATGCTGCTGACACAGTTGGATTCCTGTTAACTGATTGTCCTTAGGAGTGTTACCAATTCTCATTTGGTGTGACTCAGCACTGACAGTATTAATTAGATAATCGACTGTCGAAAAGCATGCAAGATGATTCTCGCTTCACAAGGGGAAATGCTAATCATAGGCTTGAGCTGTCAGAACTTGTCATAGTTGACTTGTATAGATTTCCGGAAACCAAATTCCCATATATAAGGATTTCTTAGGACAATCTGGATTCATTGCAGTATGAGGAGAATCCAGTATGGACAGAGTGCTGCCTCCTAGCATAATTCCATAACAATCTTCTCTGTCAAAGTTCGCAGGCATCTCTGAGACATCATATCATCAAATGTTTTGAAGTATTAGGCGATACAAAAAGCATTGCCCAGTGATTTACTTCTAGTTTTGCATGGGCTGGGCTCTTCTATTCTTGTTTTGGCTACTGATTAATCTGTATTCCTCTAAAGTACTAAAATAATACCAGCCTCTGAAGATTTATAGGACTACTGGTTAATTAGGAAAAGGATGGCTTGTTTTCTCCCTATAATGGGCGTGTACTTGGATGCTGAGATGCAAATCATAGCATTAGCAAGGAAAATAGAGGAAAATATAGCAGGTAATCAAATGTGAGCCACCTTGTAACCCTCTAGCCCTACAATTATATGTGTTTTCTTTGTTCAGGAGTTCTCACAAGTAAACGGATGCTGGTAGAAAATGCAAAACTACCTCTGCTTATAGGAAGCATCAGGCTGACTACCAGAATTAATGAGGAAAGGTTTGTAAGTAGCATGGAGAGACATCCTTAATTATCAGATGTTTAGGGAGCTGGTCATGCACACCGTCAGCAACTGTTTCACTTCATTCTTCTGCCTACCTATTATCTGAAAGCTGTTAAAAGACAAAACTATATATGAAACAGAAAGTATGTGCTCTGCATACATGCTCTCATCACATACAGTGAGTGTGTAAAGTAGGATTCCTAAACCTCGAAACAGTTGAAAATACACTAGTACTTGAAGTGAGGTAGATCAGTCACCTGTAACAGACTAGAAATGAAATATTTGGCATATTTCAGGTAGCAGATTTTCCTGTTGGAACCTCTAAAATAGTTAAAATTAAATCACACAGGAGTTCTCTTTATTCCTACTGAAGTCAGTGAGAAAACAAGTATTTGTAATAATAGGGATACGACTCATAATTCAGTCATCAATAAGAAGCTTGAATTTGAAGATCTGAAAACAGGGGCTGAAGACCACATCCAACCTGAATTTCAGCTATGTGTAGCATCTGTACTTTCATTTGCCTTTGGTATAGCTTTAGAAACCCAAGTTAAAAGGGTCTGGTGTAGTCTCATCATTAAAAGTGCTTTGAAAGCAACTGCAACACATAAGACCATGTTTTTATACAAAAAGTATATGGATTATGCATGTACCTGAATG